GTGTGTGTGTGTGTGTGTGTGTGTGTGTGTGTGTGTGTTGCTAGCTGTGACTCACTGAAGGAAATCCCTGTTTCTAGTAGAGACCAACAAACAGTTTCCCGCCTCGATAACATGGGTTGAGTGGTCTCTCCTGGTTACAGCCAATCAGGAGCCAGAGATTAGTGATGTAATCTGAGCTCACCTTCACTCACCTGCCGGCTGAGGATTAACACCAGCTGCTTTATTCATGGATCCATTTAAACCTGAAAGGTTCAAATAGAAACTCTCATGATTTCTTCGGCACTTTTACACTTTTTAATTCTTTGAACTATGAAATAAAACTTTTTTTTTAAATCTGCTTCAGCTGCTGGCTCTGTTTGTCTTTCAGCTGTAACTGACCTTTTTGCTACTTTTAGCTTTCAGCTACCTTTCTTGTTCTTTTAGCTGTTAACTAACATTTAACTTATTTCAGCTTTTAGCTGCCGTTCTGCTTCTTGGAGGTTTTAGCTAATGTTTTGCTTTCTTTTCACATTTTTCTTTAGATTTTTACTTCAGTTTTACTACTTTAGCATCTCTTCAGCTACTTTTAGCCACTTGCTAATTTTAGCGTCTCTTTTTTGCATTCAACTACAGTTTTGCTAATATTAGYTTTTGTTTGACAGATTTTAGTTTTAGTGTTTGTTGTGCTAATTTAACTTTATTGTGCTAATTTTAGCTTTGTTGTTGCTGTGCTAATTTTAGCTTTATTGTGTTATTTTAGCTTTATTGTTTGCTGTGCTAATATTAGCTTTTGTTTGACAGATTTTAGCTTTTTCTTTGTTCTAATTTTAGTTTTTTGTGCTAATTTTAGCTCTATTGTTGTTGTGCTAATTTTAGCTTTATTGTGCTATTTTAGCTTTATTGTTTGCTGTGCTAATATTAGCTTTTTTGACAGATTTTAGCTTTGTTTGTTGTGCTAATATTAGCTTTTTTGACAGATTTTAGCTTTGTTGTGCTAATTTAGCTTTATTGTTTGCTGTGCTAATATTAGCTTTTTTGACAGATTTGAGATTTGTTTGTGCTAATTTAGCTTTATTGTGCTATTTTATCTTTATTGTTATTTGTGCTAATTTTAGCTTTTTTGTGCTAATTTTAGCTTTATTTTGTTATTTTAGCTTCATTGTTATTTGTGCTAATTTTAG